CTCCGGACCCAGAGAGGAACCGTGTCTGGCGAAAGGATTTGAAGTGAATAAAGTTTAAAAAAGCCCACTGGTCTGCGCCTGCTGGGGCCCCCGCCAGCTTGTCTGGGTCTGGGGGCTAGGTGGGCACAGGCGCGCCGGGGTGCCGAGAATCCCTGGCAGGCTGGGGCTCCTGTCTCCCCCATGGACACTGTCCTCAGCCCACAGTGCAGTGGGCCCTGGCCCGCCCCGGGAGGGCTGCTCCCACCCCACCCCCAGCCGCAAAGCCGGGTTGGCTGCCTTCCCCCCTGGTAATTGGCTCATTACTGGAGACTAATGTTAGTAAACAGAAGCCGCCTTCTCTGCCGCCATCTGTCCTCTGCCACTTGCCCATTGCTATTGCCCACCGCGGCCCGCTTCCTCTCCCCCAAGCCTGCTGGCCAGCCTGGCCTAGTGGCCCTGCGTGGCGGCTGGGTGGGGCAGGAGGGGCACACACCTGAGAGGACATGGCTATTAGGGGGCCACCAGGCTCTGGCTTTATTGGAAGAGAGGAGGCTCAGGAGCTGGAGGCCCCAGGGGTGGCTGGGTCCTCGCTGGTGGCAGCTGGGCCTTGGCCCGCGGGCGGACCGCCCCCGCAGCAGCCCGCGCCTCCTTCTTCTTCTGCTGCTTCTCCTCCTTGAGGCGCTTGCGCTGCTGCTTCTCCAGGTCCTGCAGCAGCTCCTGGAAGCGGGCGCTCCTGGGGTCCACGTGGTAGCCCAGGCGCTCCTGGGCCTCCGCCTGCAGCCGGGCCTTCCTCTCCTTGTCCGCCTGCGCCTTCTCCCAGCGCTCGCGCTGCTGCTGCCGCCAGTTCTCAATCATCTGGGGCATCTTGGCCATGCGCTCGGCGATGAGCTGCTCCCTGTGGGGAGGAGGGTACAGTGACGCTGGCAGGGCAGGGCCCGGCCCGACCCCACAGGCCTCTGTGCACAGCTGGCCGCTCTCAACTCTCCTGTAGATCGCCTTTTTTTTGGAGAGGTTTTTGCTATAGAATGCGTGTGCTCGTCAGAAAGAGAGAAAGAGAGAATGCGAGAAATCACCCTCCAGCGGGGATGGCCACGCAGCAATCCCTTCTCCATTCTCTCGGGATCTTGGGCACGCACGCACACGTGCCGGGTGTGTTTAAGCCACTGGGTCTAGGACTGGAACAGCGTTTGACTACATGGGAGTCCAGCGACAGCCATCACACTAATTACCGGTCCCATGTTTTTTCAGGTTTTTATCATAGGACACAAGTGCTGAGTTGGGGGGCTTGAGAAATCACCCCCCAGGGGGCATGACCACACTGCAGTCCCTCCTCCATTCCCCTTGGGATTCACACCTGGTGTTTTCAGGCCTTGGGTCCAGGATTCGAGCTGAGCAGTTGGCTATATGGGACACAGTGCCCAACCCCCACCCCACCTGCTGGCCCTGCCCCATGGGATAACACCAAGTCACTGCCTTTGACTGTCAGAAAAAGTAAAGTCCTTGACAGAGAAGCAGGCAGGGAGAGCTGAGAGGCCAGGGCGGCCGCCCCAGGTCAGCCCGAGGGCTGTCTAGGACTCCCCGGCCCAAGGCTGACTCCCTCCCGCAGACATCAGTGCTGAGCAAGCTGTTCACAGAGGCCGAGGACAGGACACCCCTGCGGGCCTGTAACTTTGCAAGTGCCAGTCAGTCCCCATGTTAAGGACTAGAGAAGTGGGGGCTGGCAGGTGGTGTGGTTAATGGTACTGGACTCCCACATGGCCAACCGTGGTTCGAGTCCTGGACCTGGTGGCTTGCTTTCTCACTTTACTTCTTCATCTTTCTCTGATCAAAATCTGGAACATAATAATAAATAAAGCTAAATAAAATCATTCATAAAAAAAAAAGGATTAGAGAAGTGAAGCTAGGGCCAGCAGGTGGTATGGTGATTAAGGCTCTGGACTACAGTCTGAGTGCCAGACCTGGCAGCTAGCTTCCTCTTTCTCGCTTTTTTTTTCTTTTTCTTTCTTTTTTTTCAGAGGTTTTTGCTATAGGGCGCGTGCACGAGAGAGACAGAGATAGAAAGCGAGAAATCTCCCCCCGGGGGGATGGCCACACCGCAATCCTTCTCCATTCTCCTCTAGGGACCTTGGGCACACGCACACAAGCACCCGGCGTGAGTTTTAAGCCACCGGGTCCGGGACGCGAACCCCGGTCCACTACATGGGAACCCAGCGACATAGCCATTATGCTAACTGCTGGTCCCTCTTTCTCGCTTTCACTTTCTTTCTCTCATCAAATTAGGAACAGCAACGATAGGGGCCAGCAGGTGGCATGGTGGTTAAGGGACTGGACACTCCCACATGGCCAACCACAGTTCAAGTCCTGGACCTGGTGGCTTGCTTTCTCACTTTGCCTCTTCCTCTCTGGTCAAATTAAAAATATATATATATTTAAAAAACTAACGATAATAAATAAGATTATTTTTAAAAGTAATAATGACTGGGACCAGCAGGTGGCATGGTGTTTAAAACTGCTTGACTCCCCCACATGACTGTCCATGGTTCAAGGCCCAGACTTGGAGGCTTGTTTTTTTCACTTTCCCTCTCTTTTGCTCTTTCTCTGTCCCTCTGGTAAAATTAAATAATAATGATAAATAATTTTTTAAAAAGGTTTTTGCCATAGGGTGCCAGAGAGACAGACAGAATGTCAGAAATCATCCCTGAGTGGGGAGGCCCATGCTGCAATCCTTTCTCTGTTCTTTGCCTGGGATCTTGGGTACCCGGGCACGCACACGTGCCTGGCCTGAGTTTCAAGCCACCAGGTCTGGGACTCGAATTGCGGTCAGCCATGTGGGAGTCCAGCAACATAACTGCTATGCCATCTGCTGGCCCCCTAAGTAATTCTTTAAAAAAAAGAAAAGGGAAACTATAAGAATTAAGCCCCCCAGATCAGGGTCCTCCAGCAGTAGAGAAGCAGAGAAGGAGGACACTCAGTGCCACTCACTGCCTGGGTAACTGGACATGAGCCTCTGCCTCCCAGGCCTCTGTTTCCTTGGCTCTAAAATAAGGAGAGCTCCCCAAGGTGGCTGGAGGACAAGACCGTTCAACACCAGAAACCCTTGTGACCTGCCCCTGCCTCCCAGTCCAACCTCTGCTCTTAACTCCGGGCCTCATAACCACCCTGCCCACACCTCCCCAGCTCCACTGGCTGCCTGGCTGTCCCTGGAGGCGAGACCCTGCCTCAGGGCCTTTGCACCGGCTGTGCCCTGCCCAGGAGCTCTCCCCCATGCTTAGTCTCGGGTCTCTGCTTCAGCATGACCTCCTTGGGTCCAGCAGGTGGTGCAGTGGTTAAGGCGCTGGACTCCCACATGATCCACTATGGGGATGCAGCACCTGGAGCCTCACGCTAAGTGCATGTGCAGGTATTCCCAAAATCCAGAGAAGGGACTGTGGTGTAGCCATTCCCCCATGGGGTGATTTCTCACTGTCTCTCCGGTGAGTGCATGAGCCATATCACAAAAAAAAGCTCTCAAAAAATAATAAAAATAAAATAAAATAGGGGACCGTCAGATGGTGGGGTGGTTAAGGTGCTGGACACTCCCACATGGTAGACCATGGTTCGAGTCCTGGACTTGGTGGTTTGCTTTCTTACTTTCTCTGTCTCTCTAGTCAAATTAAAATGAATGAATAAATAAAGTTAAAAATAAATTCTTTAAATAAATAATAACCTCCTCAGAGAAGCCTAGACCTCCCAATGGGAATGCTTTATCTTGCTGCTGGTCCCCTGTGGCCACTTGAAGCTAGCCTGTTCTGCTCGGGACAGAGCCTTGCACACAGAAAGCGCTCGGTCAGGGCTGGCCGCAGAATGGCGAGTGGACGTTACCCCGGAGTTCGCGCTGCGGCCGGCGGAGCACGCACGCAGATCCGCACCGAGCACGCTCGGCCACCGGTCCCCGAGCGAGGCACCGTCGCGCCCAGCCCTCCCGCGGGGCCGCCGGCGCAGCTCGGCCTGCACACACGCACCTAGCCCGACGCTTCTGCTCCTCCGCCAGCTGCTGCTCCCGTAGCGACTCCTGCATGGCCGCCAGGCTCGGGTACCACTCGCGCTCCTCGGCCTCCAGCTCCCGCAGCTGCTCTGGCGACGGCCAAAGCGAACCGGCGGCCACCCCGGAGGCGGCGCCATGCCGCGCGAACTGCTTG